TACAACTGATCAACAAATATATGAAAAAATGTTCAACATCTCTAGCAATTAGAGAAATACAAATCAAAACTACACTGAGATTTCATCTCACTCCAGTCAGAATGGCAATCATCAAGAATACAAGCAACAATAAATGTTGGCGAGGATGTGGGGAAAAAATACACTCATACACTGCTCTTGGGACTGCAAATTGGTGCAGCCAGTATGGAAATCAGTATGGAGATTCCTCAGAAAACTTGAAATGGAACCACCATTTGACCCAGCTATCCCACTCTTTGGTTTATACCCACAGGACTTAAAATCAGCATACTACAGTGACGCAGCCACATCAATGTTTTTAGTAGCTCACATTAGCTAAGCTATAAAAACAACCTAGGTACCCTTCAACAGATGAGTGGATAAGGAAAGATGGCATATATACGCAATGGAGTATTACTCAGTCTTAAAGAAGAATGGAATTATAGCATTTGCAGGTAAATGGATGGACCTAGAGAATATCATGTTAAGTGAAATAAATCAATCCCCAAAAAACAAAGGTTGAATATTTTTTTTCTGATATGAGGATGCTAATTCACAATGGGGGCAGGGAGACTAGAGGTACCTTGGACTAGGCAGAGGGATGTGAAGGGACGGGAGGGGGTATGAGGGTTGGAAGGATAGTAGAATAAATTCAGACATCATTACCCTATATGCATATATGACTACACGAACAGTGTAGCCATGTACAACCAGAAGAATCAGAAGTTATACATTTATGTATGATGTGTCAAAATGCATTCTACTGTCATTTATAACTAATAAGAACAAATAAAAAATAAGAGTTAAAAAAAATCAGAGGAGGGCACATTCACATAAAAGTTTGCTAATTTCTCCAAGATGAACCAATCACCTAGAAAGTGTTCTTTCGGCTTCCCTACACTGTCCAGGCAATTACTCTAAAGAAAGTCTTCAACTTTCTCTACTTCCCATCATATCAACCACTATATTTAGAAAGGAAGTAAGACAATATATAAGAATCCCAATCATACTTTTATCCTTTTAATCACAGGTAAAAGAAACCATGGTCATCTGTGGGATCTAGTATAGGTAGGCACACTTTGAATGTCTACTCAGTCCCACAAATGGATGGCAGGACCCTGCTGCAGTGCTCATGGGTACTTTCATCAAAGCAGACTCATCACAATGACTGAAACAAGGGCAGAGGCACGACATGGAAAGACAGTGTATTGCTCCTGCAGGAAGGATAGACGAGAGGTAGCACAAAAACTGCACCACATGGAAAGAAGAATGTTGCAAGGTGGAGGACCTAAACATACAAGGACTAATGCAATAATAACATACATTAGGATTCTAGACAATGTGCTGAGTGTTTTATTTGAATGATTTCATTTAATTGCCAAGACAATTTCAAAAGTGGTGGTGATGATGGAAATAGTAGTGCTTAGTGGTGGGGGTAGTTCCCTCTAGGGGAAAAATAAACCCAAAACACTCCTTGACTAAGCTTTAAAGCTACTCAGAATGGGCTAGAATTCAAATCTACAAAGTATGATGGCAGAGCTAAAATCTCAACTCTGGTTCCTGGGGCCCTGTGTATTGTGTGGCTCTGAATTAGAAGGTGGTGAATTATTTATACTTACAAAGGATATTGGCATGGCAAAAAACTGAACACTTGATACTCCAACTGAGAAACAAGTATTTATGACAGTGAGAAATTCATTTGAGGGATTTCTGCTATGAACTTTTAGATCATTATTGTGATGTGCTCCGCCAAAAGGTTGGCCTTTCTTAAGGCCATCACTAAAATCCTTTTTTAATAATGTATAAAAAATCCCTCTAATTTGTGATCTGTGGAATATGCAGTTAGAGACATTCTAAGCAGTACCCCAGTTATGAGCGTTCCTAAAGGTCCCAGAAGGTCTAAGTGTGAGATCCAAGACTGGCACAAGGTGACACACTCTACAAGAGGTAAACATGGAGGTTTGGCTGAGGGAATATTCAGTGAATGTTACAATAACCCTACATTTCAAAAATACTACTCTGTGCCCCAAAAGTAGTATGAGTAACACTGTGAATCACCCACCTATTCCCAAATGAATATGGGACAGAAAACTGTAAGACTTATATGGACAAGAGTCAATACAGCCAGAAGTAGACACAGCAAGGCACAGCACAGCAGGGTTTCCACCACATTGATAGTTATGTCTCTATATAGTTCATGTGCTTTGAAATTCTATTTATTTTACTTCACATGTTTAAAAACATTCTATCAAAGGGGTCCACAGGCTTTACTAGACCACCAAATGGAACCAAGGCACCACAAAGCATGAGAATTCCTAGCAATGGAACAGCTTTAAATCAGTAACGCCAGCTTGGAATGCCAAGCTGTAACCTTTGCCAATGACAATCATTCCCCCTCAGGGTAATTAGGATCCAGGGAACAGTCTGATCTGCCGACCAGAATACAACCACCACGAGTAGAGTTATCCCTGTTGGTGTTCAAAAGACAGAGACCACATGGATTAATTGATGCTGAGCACCCTGAAACAGAGTAAAATAAAAGTCTACTCATATAAATCGGAACTTTCTAATACAGGTGAAACAAGTAATTATTTCAAATTACAGCACTCCTAATAATTTTAATCTTGTTTGATTAGTTCTTCCAAATGTTTCAAAATAGTTACCTATTCCTTCAATATATGGAAATAAAAAAGAACATCAAGGATTGGATGGCTGTGGCACTCCCTTCTTTCTGAGAGAGTGAGGCATGCCAACTCCCACATATGAACATAAATAGAAGAAAACAGAGCTAATCTGTCATCATTCCCATCCAGACTGGGGCAAAATAATATAACATGGCTAAATCACAATGGAAAGGATTCCAAAGGTAATTTACATGTTCTGGGGAAAGCATTTCAACACTGGAGTGCCTGTGAATGTGTCTGATATTCTAAGATTTAACATCATAGTAAATTTACACACACACACACACACACACAGCCACACAGAGGTAAGTACCCCTTTTTAAAAGAAATTAAGAAAACAATAATTTCCCTCCGTGTTGTGGGTTTAGATATTAGGTGTCTCCCAAAGGCTCATGTGTGAAACAATGCAAGAAATCTAGAGTGAAATGATTGGGTCATGAGAGTCTTCAACTAATCTACTGCATTAATCCACTGACAGGGATTAACCATAGTCAGGTAAGGTGTGGTCGGAGGAGGTAGGTACCTGGGGATGTGCCTTTAGGGTTTATATTTTATCCCTGGTGAGGAGAGCTTGCTCTCTCTCCACTTCCTGGTGGCCATGGCTTTCCTCCACCACACACTTCTGCCATAGTGTTGTGTCTCATCTCAGATACCAAAGAATGGAGTCAGCTGTCTATGGACTGAGACCTCTGAAACTGTGAGCCCCCAAATAAACTTTTCCTCCTCTAATTGCTCTTGTCAGGTCTTTTGGTTGCAGCAGTAAAAAAGCTGACTAAAACACTCCATGACCCTTTCCTCAGTAATTTTGACTTTTGATTTAAAATTAAAGCAATTTCATATAAAATCTGAGCTCCCCAACAGTAACTTTAGATTAGCAACGAAGTTAGAAACGCAAATAACAAATACAAGCACAAATTGATCAAATTATAAGAATTTAGTATTTTAAATATTACATTTTATGATATTTGTTTGAAATGGAGATATCATGAGAAATATATAATTCATAATACAGAATGTTTCTGTAAATTGGAAATAAATCAGAAATACCCAGGCCCATGATGAAAGTTTAAAAGGGGCAAGTGTGGTTACCTCCCACTATTCCACCAGCAAGTCCTGTGTCTTTCAGGGTTTGTGGACACCTGACCAGTAATTTATTTATTTATTTTTAATTTTTTATTAGTTGTTGGTAGACCTTTTTTCATTTATTTGTTTATATGTGGTACTGAGAATCGAACCCAGTACCTCATACATGCTAGGCAAGCGCTCTACCACTGAGCCACAACCCCAGCCCCCTGACCTGTAATTTATAACAGTAGATTAATGTTCTAAGTTTCATTGTTTTAGGAGTTAGATTTTCACAGAGAAGTGAAGTGAATATTAAAAATCCAATAAATAATTCTTTTTTAGTGATGATTGATTGTATTCACATTTCATGAATGTGTTCTATTCTTTGTTAACAAAAATGTATAGTTTGTAATCTAAAAGTGAATTATGCAGTTTTGAAATATTGATTTAAAAAAACCTATCTTTCCCACAAGATTGTTACAGTTAGAGGGGATGGGCAATATTTTGTATAACAATGAGGTTTACTTGATGTTTTGTTTCTCCTCTTTTTTTTAAAGAACAATGATTATTCTTCCCACCAAACTGGGAACAAGAATCATAAAACAACAACAACAAAAACAACAATGTCAAAACCCAACCAAACAAACAAAACTAAAAAGTGAAAACATCCCAGATTGTCTTGGAGTGGTAACAGGGAGGTTACTGTCTCAAGTTTTCAAAATCTTTGGCTTCCATATTGATGTTGCCATGCTAAAAAACTAAAAGGGGCACAAAGAGAAGAACAAAGATTTACCTATTAGGATCCTCATAGGTCTTGAATCTTTCTTTCTACCTATTTTGATTGGTTTACTGAATTACTAATGAAAGGATCTAATGAATGTTCTGAAAGAGCATGAGTTAAACATGAAATATTAAGGTGACAATGTTATGTTATCATAGTTTATATATCATAAAGTGTGTGCAAATTATCAAATTTTTTTCAATATTTTGATCATTTTCTTAAAAATAGATAATCTCAGCCAATTATTAAGAAATGAAAAAAGTACAATTAACAATGTGCCACCAATATGTACAATACTAGTATAGATTTTTATGGTACAGTTAGTAATTCAATGACTTTAATGAAAGTTTTCTAGACAAAAAAAAAAAAAAAATTACTTCAAAATAATTTTAAGCTGCTACCACAAAGTATGATTTGATCTTTTGACTATAATAAAACCAGGGAACATACAATTCAGAATTGTTTTTAGTTTTATTAACAAGTCATGTATAGTTTCTTTTAATTAATAACTAAAGATTTTTCATGCTTCTTAATATTAAAAAAGTAGTATAACTGGAATTCAGTTTGCAAAAAATCATTCTGAAACCCGATTTCTTCTTCATATTTGGTGTTTGAGAATTCTAGTGCTGTCATATTTTAAAAAGGAGCAGATAAATGTTTGAAGTATGCATATTTGAAGAAAATACAGTAATATGAAACCACACAAGAACACTCCAAGTCATTTTTTCCTAAGGTTTAATTTCAACTTACAAATTTTAAATGATGATTGTAATGCCAATCCAAGTTTTTGCTTATTTGCAATGCACGAACTATTTTTTATAACTTGCAGGTGAAATATTCCTTTCACCACAGTATGCTTTTACCCTTATTTATGCTCTCTTTTTAATTTTTCCCCCTTGAGTCTTTTTCTTCAACAGTTTAACACATCACTTCTGGTTCAGCTATAGAGCAATCCTAGAACAATAATGTTTCAACTTGCAAGGAAGAACGCCCTTGTTGAGTTGGTAGAACTCCACCAGCTGGATTAGATCCGTAAATCTAGTATGGCCATCATCTAGCGTGTGGAACATTTCACCATCATCTTCCACCTGCAAGAGGAAAAGCAACAAGCTGGTAAAGAGAGTAAAGAATCCAGAAGAATGATGGTTGTTCCACTGCAAGCTATGTCTTCATGCCAAAATTGACAAGTTTATAAAATTAAGGACTGTGCAGAGAACAGCATGGTATGTCCACTTCTTCTTCTTTTTTTTTTTTTTAACTTCACTTACATTTAAAAGAAGTATCATCTGATCCTTGGATAAGAAACATGCCTCCACTTTCTCTACATCTAATTCTCCCAAAGTTCTGTTTAGTGAGGATAGTTTAACTATTTTGAGTCAATGAACAGAGAGAAATCTGTACTATTCAGTGTAAAAGTAGACAGGAGATTTTAACGCTTCCGTGTATAGAAATTAATTTCTATTTCTAAACATTGTCTACTTAATGCCTCAGTATATTAAAAAATGACTATTCACATAATTTTTATCAGCAAATTCATTCTGAAGCAATGAAATATTATGCTAATGGAATGTCAGTTGACTTTTTTTGTTTGGTGGTGAAGTCTTCTAGCATTAAACGCTCATACTTGCTGGGAACACTGATCAAATAATCAAAGAAGCAGGGTTGGTACTCTATATGGCCTTTGGATGATTTCAAAAAGAGGCAATTCAAAGGAAAGCACCAGTAATTTAAATAAGATCTTCCTGAAAGTAGACTGAATCTGTTTTACTCTGCCTGATTCCAATATGCACGCACATATGTACATATGTGCACATGTTGACACACAACAGCAGAAGCAAAAAAAAAAAAAAAAAAAATCCCAAAGCAAGTTGAGCCAGCCAAAAACAGAGTCACAGATATTTTAAAAATTTTCCCAGGATTATTTAAATGTCCACCAATTTCACAGTTCCTGTGTTTCTATACAAATAATTTAAAACAAATGAATAAAAACTAGCAACAATAATAGCAAAAAATGTCTTTGAGAAAAGAGAAGAGAAAGGGTTTTAAAATAATGTTTTTTTAAGGAATGGTTAGAACTCAGAAAAAAGAATCTTTAGTGGCCTTTTAACAATAGGTGGCATGGGGTCTATACAATATTGCTAAATCATATTTTGTGGAAAAAAGATAAATTTAATTTTTACAATTCCTGTATTTCTTATATTAATTCAGGCTCATAAAACCATTTCTGCCAAACTTAACTTTGGTCAAAGCACAAGCTCCCACATTATATTTAATAAAAGGAACAACAGAAAAACAAAGTTTCCAAAAGCTTATGCATTAAGATCATATCTAATATACGAATGTGAAATCACAAATTACTTACTGGTATAATTTGAAAGTGCTTTATTTTTTGTCCATGACTCATTGACAGGACGAAAGTTTTGGGGTTACTCTGACTATCCCGCACCAAGAAAACTCTAAAGAGAGAGAGGAAGAATTTCAATGTTTCTACATTTACTCACAGATTTCATAGAAACATAGCATGCAACAAACCCAGGATGTGTACTCATAAAAGCTGTAGCTGGGATCTCCTTAACTGTGTATTCAGTGGGTATGATTATTCAACTTGGTGAATGATATGTTACAATATAATCTCATACTACAAAACTGTCATCAGTGCTAATGTAATTTTAATAGGATAAATACACAGTCTATTTGTGACATTGTTTGCTTACAATACCCAGCATAACATTCTGTTGGCATCAACAGTTCATGTTGTCCTTTTTCCACTGGGAAATTGGGTATTCCCATGTAACTACCAGAAAGAATAAGGGATGAGAAAAAATAAGGGATGAGTGTGTGTGTGTGTGTGTGTGTGTGTGTGTGTGTGTGTATGGTTAGTTAGGTAGGTAGTTAGTTTATGGGTCATGATAGGCCCCTGAAAGGACATAATGATTTAGAGTAAAATCATTTTTTACCCCCTTTTCTATACTTGGTCTGCTTTCTTCTTTTGATTCTGGCTTCTACTATTACACGACAGAAAATAAGAAATGATTATATCCTTAAAATCCATCTTTAAATTGTTTATTAAATGTTTAAGTAAAAATGTTTCAAGTTAAAAAAAAAAATATATACCCAACGTGCACTTTAACCTTGAAGAATGCAGTGGGAAAGCCTCTATTAATGTCAGGTTACAAAAAGAAGACGTGGCCTAATGGTCTCAGAGAAAAAGGCTGCCGGGCATGGATTCTTATTTACTGGCAATGCAGTGAAAAGCCAGTTTTGTATTAATTACTGGCAAACACACTGTGTAAGTGGTCCCCACTGGTGACTCCAATACTAATCTCACTGTGCCTGGGCAAAGAGGCAGCCAAATCTGAGGCATCACAGATGTCTGATGAAATTATCCATTTTATTTGTGAGACTCTGACATTACATCATTGGGAGACAGGACAAAGGGCATTTCACAGGAAAATTAAGCAGTAATTCTTCCCCCTCCCAAGCAGATCACCACTACCACCTGGTGGACCGCCTGACACCTTCACAACTTTCCAAAGGAATACCAAAATAATAGAAGCAGGCATGATTACTCTGTACAATTAATTATTTTCTCCGGGTTACAAATTCATAAATAAAGGGAATTATAATCTTCTAAAACATTTAAATCATTCTTTCTTTTTTTTCTTTTCCTGACCTCATTGGATTGTAACTCTGATCACTGTTCAAATTTATATCCAAAAAAAGACCATGCTCCAAGCAGAGAAGCATATTAAAATCCTTTCTTATTTAGAGTCTGGTGAAATGCTGACTTGTTATTAATAATCTTCCATGTGAAGATGCATTTTTACCCAAATGTCAGTATTAAATCTCCTCAAACTCTTGTCATCATCTTAAGTCAACCTTTGAAGATAAAAGATTCTTTCTCCAGTTGTTTAAACTGACAACAGTTTCATTTCTCACCCAATCCTCAATAAAATGTCCTCATTGTACTGCATTTGGGAAGGAACTTACCAGTATTAAAGTACCTGAAACTGAGTAATGTGAGAAGAAAATCCTTCAGATTAAAAATCTCTTATAAAATATTTTATGCTTCTCTTGTGTACTCCATGGTATCCCATTAAAAGATAACACAAAAAATCATCAAAAAGTACTATTTTAATAGATTCATATTTTAAGCTGTTGATATTTAGAGAAAAAGCAATAGGGATGTAAACAGAAATAAAAGCAAACATTCAAAATATATCAGAAAAAAAGCTTTCTACTTAATATACCCTGCATTATACCTAAAAAGAATTACAATGTATAGGATAATGTCATAATGTAAATCATACTTTAGAATCATATTAATTACTTGTTCAAATTAAAACATTGATTACCCAAAAACAAGGTTAGTTTTTTTTCTCTCATGAATTAATATCTAAAATGCTAGAATTGGCACAGAATGGATAACATTAGTACTCGTAGTCAAGAACAAAGAATCCTATTCTCTGTTAATTTATGCACAAATACTAAGCACACTCTGTGTACTAGCTATTATACAGATATTGCTAGAATTCAGTGATAGCCACTCTTACAGAAAAAAGTAATTTCTGAGTTATGATAAGCCAAAATTAAAAACACTTGGTGTGTACTGAATAAATGATTATTATTTACTGGCAAAATCCAAACCAAATCCAAAATCCAAACCCAAATTCTACTCAACACTAAAAGTATCAAACTTACCCATCCACAAGTCCTTGCTGAATAATCAATCGCTGAGCTTCATCTCTGGAAATCTTGTGGTGAAACCATGGCTGGGACCGATGGATGGCTAAAGAAATAAAACGAATGAATACAAAGGTTTGCTTGCAGTGACTGCAATTTCACTACATATATGCCCCCCATCACTTAGTGACCGCATGTCATTAAAGTCATGTCAAGCTGCCCATCAGCTCAATGACCATGGCTAGGAGCAGACATACCCATGTTTGTGGCAGAGGTTTGTGAGGAGGCAGTGGGGCTACCGTGACTGCCCAGGCGCAAACATCCTTTTTTCTGATCAAGGAATGGGAAAACAAATCTCAGTTTTGGGAGTGAAACAAACTCAAATTAAAAATTCTTTCAAGAAAGTGAAATTATGAGTACCCTCCAAGCGAGTCCTTCTTCAACTGCAACTGAAAGAGCTTCGGTGGGATTTTCTATAACTCTGCTTTTCTGACCTGAGAAGTCCATTGCTACCAGGGAGTTCTCTGATATACTTCTCTGGAAAAAAATTTTTGAAAAACAAAACAAAACCAGAAAACACTTGCAAGTCATGAAAATCTTCAAAAGTAATCGTTCACTGTTTTGCTGGCAACATGCTTCAATTTGAGACTGGGATTCCTAAAGTGGCTATCAGGAAATTAAAAAGTTAAAAGTACATATTCAATATAAAATGATGCTGTGGAGAACTTTGATAAATAAGTTCAATGGCTATTTGTTAGGATAACTGAATTAAGTGTTGAGTAATGTGATGAAAATCTTTGAAAGAAAGCATGTCTTTCCCCTAAAACAAACCTCTTTTTCACATTATCTCCTAATATGGCAAAACTCCAATTGAGGAAGAAATAACCCTTCCTACTGGCTATAGAGAACTATCACTTCTGAACTCATCTCTGTATTAAACTTTATGTCAAATCCACCAACTTTGAAGCCACGATTTTATGATTCAAAATATGTAAAAGCTATAACTTAGATACACATCTTCTTAGAAATAGTACTCATGTTTTATAAAGGAGCAAATTGGAGTATGTGTTTTGAAAGCTTATCATGTCAAGTTTCATTTCATTTGGAAAATAAAATTTAGCAGAATAATAATACATAATATTAGATTTCATATTAAAATTTTTATGATAGGGCTGGGGCTGGGACTCAGCGGTAGCACACTTGCCGGGCTTGTGCGAGGCACTGAGTTTGATTCTCAGCACTGCATACAAATAAATAAAGGTCTGTCAACAACTAAAAAAAAAAAATTTTTTAAATTTATGATGTAACATATAAACACGTTTTCCTTTTTGAAGAGATGGGTGGCCAAGTTAGTGCTGCAAAAACAACTCTGAATGACAGAAGCACAGACATGAAAAGACATATTGAAATAAATGTAATCAAAACAATGATAAAGTCAATGTTTTCACTAATTACTTCTTATATTCCTAGTCTCTAAAGGGAAAGTAAAACATATAAATCCTGGATCTTATTTTTATTTTCTTTTTTCTGACGTCCTATTTTGCAATCATCTTTCAAGAAACAGGCATGCTATCCCACAATGAGTCATGAGTACTAAAAAAAGAGAAAATTGTCAAACGCTCTAGTCAAGAGTCTCACATGTCTTATACACTAGGAAGATAACTTAAAACTAAGCAAAATAAAAAAAACTAAATGGAAGTGTGTATCACTTATTCTTCAATAATTAATAAAAGAACAAAACCCAAAGTGAAATTACACTGGTAAATTATGAGCCAACCTGCATCTGGAGACTTCTGGCTTTCACACACACTCTCTCTCTCTCTCTCTCTCTCTCTCTCTCTCTCTCTCTACCTTTGGAAAAGATACTATAGTCAAATGTGGGCTTCAAACAAAACCTTATCCTCAAGAAAAAAAAAAATTAGGTTTCTTTATCACTGTCTCACACATCCCATTTTATTAGCATCTGTTATTTTCTCTTCAAACCATGTGATAGTGGCCGACAATCTTATTATGGTCCATCTATATTTCTAGAGATCTGGCGTGCAATCTTCCATTTGTTACAGGAGCCTTTATAACTGACAGCTGCTCTTTCCAGACAGATGCTGTCTCAGTAATCTCTATTTGCTGTCACACCTTAGTTTGCCCTTTTCACCCCGTGATCTTCCGTGCTGGACTGTGGACCAGTTGGATATACTTTTGCTTTCCTAACATTAATGGAAAGTGTCCGCCTGCCCAAATCAGAGTAACTATCCTGGATCCTAATGATAGATTTATCCTTATAATATCTTTAACTTCACATGCCAAGATGGGTTCTATAATGAGAAGTTCCTGATAACATAAAAATACTGTGAGGAAAAAATAAAATAAACAAGCTGTTGTTCTCTCCCTACCCAATACAGAGGACCAGATGTACAATAAGATCCTATGTTCTATAATTATTTGACAAACAGAGAATACAAGACAATTAAAAAATTTTTCCATTTGCTACAATAACTACACTAGGAGGAAAGAGGAGTGTAGTAAATGTTGTCTACTGAATGGCAGGTGGTGGATGAAAAATTAATAGTTTACCTTTGGTGGACAAAGAAATGGAAGTAAAGCAGAGTCTGACAAACCCAAAAGGTCATTTTCAGCACAATTTCTTTCACATAGGAAAGCAATGCTGGTAACATTCAGAACTGGCTGTATTTCTCAAATATTTGTTCCTTTTTCTAGCTCTTCTTACGGGATGAACAGGGTAGGCCCTAGCAAAATGATCCATGATTTTAATTGCATAGCCTTTCTCTCTAAGAAGGGAAGCCTGGGTGTACCCTGGATTACCCAGGCCACACTCTGAGACTGCTTGTATCCACTTTTAGTGAGGTTTACATGTAAAATGGTTTTTAGGCAATATAACTACATGGCAACTAGCCATGCTTTCTCTGTCACTCTATTTGAAGGATCTTGATAAACCTGCAGTTCAGAATGACTGAACAAGAGGGCAAAGAATTCCTCCAGATATCGTTCTCTCATCTGTTTCATACAGAGCCAAAGGACACCCCAGATGTAAGAGTCAAGAGATTATGCAACTACCCCCTTCTTTTACACTGCAAGACACCAGAGATCCAACCAAGATCACACAGCTTATGGTAAAAATAGCAACCAATATGTCCCATCTAGGGTTCTTTCAAGTGCCACATCGTGGGAGGTAAAGGAAAGAAATGCAGCTTAGCATGTCTAGCCCAGGGTCAAAAGTAAAGACTAAAAAGAACTAAGCAGACATTTTCTCCCAATCTCCTCACTCCAGCCAGGAACATATTAACAGACACTCCATTAAATGAATTACTTCTTTACCCTAAAATGAACCACATCTATCTGGCTTCCTAAAATATCTGCTGACGATTCTCATTTCAAAAGTTGATATAAGTGGCTGTCACATGGTATTATGGCTAGGTGCTCCCTTTGGTATGAGAACTGTTGTTTTGTTTCTCTTTTCAAAACATGGACAAGTTTAAAAGAGAATACTGTTACTTGAGAAAGGTAACTAAATTATTCTAACTTCTCTATGTAACTCACTGAAAACAGTTCCTGAGTAGAGAGCAGCAGAGACAGGTGAGAGGCACCAGCACCATTCAGGTCACTGATTCCTCTGTAATCATCTAGAAAAGCGGGACTCTCCATAGACACAAAAGTAAACACAAATACCTCCCCAAACATCTAGGTCTCCTTCACAGACATTAAGAATAGCATAGATACAGTTCTCAAGTGCTACCTTCTATGATCACAACTCCTGTTTAGAACAAGCCCTTACCATGAGGCACTGGGACCTCTCACCCCTATCACACCTGATTCCAGTCAGATTCACTCAAGGAGCAGTTCTTTTTACAGTTGGGGTTGAATAAGCAAAGACCGGCTAACCAAACTCAGATTTGCCGTGATCAACAGCAGAATGACTTTCAATGGGAAAAGGTAAGAATTATATAACACTTGTATGCTAACAAAAGTAATGAAAATGGAAAGGACTTTATTTATAACAATTTTTTCCTATGATTAAAAGGACACTAAATAATAATTGCTTCCAAACGTTTGGTGCTATTAACACGTCCATGCTAATAACTCTAGATTCTAAAAGAAAATTTAGAGGGATTTAGGAAAGGATTAAGATAATAAAATTCATTGTTCTTTTTATATACAGATGGATTGAAAGATAAGAGTAAGCTGACAAACTGTAAAAAATATTCACCTTAAAGTGATTTCTATTATAAAAATTCATTACATTCCTTAGTTTCTTATTTTAGGGTTTAAAAGTAATATGATACAAAGATGAAAAGTTATTCTTCCATAATTTAAAGCAACATAACTACAAAATAGGGGCTCTTTTTCTATATCGTCTATTGGGCTTCATAATCAACATTATTTCATGCCACATTCCTGGAACTGAGCATTTCATCTGGCACATTACATGTGGGTAAATGTACCTTCCTTGGTCATAGTCAGGAAGAACACATTTTTAACCTAAGTGGAAACACAGTTTTCAGAAATGTGCATTAACTGATTTGTAACACAGGCACATACATCTGAATTTCTAATATAGTCAATATTAAGAAGTGCAGCAAGAATTGCAGAATATAAACTTTAAGTTCAGAAATAAATTTCTGTGTTAATGCACAGGAAATTAAAATTAAGTGCTAAAGAAGGTAAAAGATGTGCCTGTGTGTGTCTGCAAATAAATATCCAAGTTACATTTGGTAAAACTCTGAGAAGCACTGCATAGTTAATGTAATGCATGACCTATATTTTGACTTGTAGTTTTTGCATTTCCTGGAAAGCAGTCTGCTTTTTAAGGACCTGGAACTTAAAAAAGAATTACTGTTAGAAAGCCAGAAAGTAAAAGCATGCACATGCGTATATTACAGTTTTTAAAATTTGAAATTATTGGCATCTCTATAATAGGCCACAAGAATCCCAGAATCAGTATTAAAATAAATAAGCAAACCCACAATCAAAGAAAATTAATTTAAAAAACACATAACGCCAAGGAAAATATTCTACAAATTATCTTATTAAGAATCTAATCCTCAAATGATGTAATAACATAGAATATACATTCCTTCAAGTATTTAAAATGTTTTACTAACATAACATTATGTATTATAATTGAATACTTCATATATGTCCTGTGATTTTTATCACAGACTGTACACATATGCTATCCAAGTATAAAAAATTCAATATAACATCATATATACAAAGTATAACTTTACTTGACTAAAAGAAAATGGTAAATGTATTGTAGTATATATTTGTAATGTAATAGCAAATTAACATAATATAAATATAAAATAAAATATAGGTTCAAAAAAATCTGATCCTTACCATGGGTGATATACTCTGAGAACTGCAGCCACTTCTGCCTTGATATGGATGCATATAATTCTGGTACAACTGCATGCCATACTGAAAAATAAATAAACAAAAACATAATGCTACAACTTTTACTTTACTACACTGGTAATTCAATTAAAATATTCTTTCATTAATCATATGTTATCAGTATAAAAAATAATTTTGTGATTTTCCTTCAAACAGATAAGTAAAGCAACCAAAATTTTGACAGAAAATCTTTTAATGCCCTTCAACGATGCATTTAAAAAGATATGTTTTTTAATTTGTTTGTTTTACTGAGGCTCCCAAATTAAGGTCTTGCTCACCAGTATTACTTTATACTGGTATTACTTTATACTGAGACTTACATTTCTACTTACATACTTTGCAGCAAAATCATTTGGACTGGTACCTTGTCTCGTGAAAAGAAAGCTCACTTGGGAAAGGTGTCATGCCATACATTCCAAAGATTTAAAAAACCTCACATATGTCCTAAGCAACACTGTAAAATTCACTGTCATTCTGATGATTGATGAATTAATTTGTCCCCTTGGTAAAACTATAAATTGGGCCCTATCTAGAAAATTCTTGGCACTATATCATTCTTGGTTAAATATTCTTTTAACCAAGAATAATTTTCTCATAATAATTTTGGGCTTCACATTCAGAAAACCAAAGCAGTGAGGAGTCCAGCTGATTTCAGAGTTTCAAAATCCAATGTAGCAGATTAGAAATGTGGGGTCTTCGCTTTTAGGAGGCAGCATCTTACAGACTGAGCCAGCTGGCCATAATGGGAAAGTAGGTCTGAATTCTAATGGGATTATTAGTTTGAGAAAAATTAAGACTGCTAACTGCCATGAGCAAACTTGTCCTGAGGAATCCTCATCTGAATCTGGAAATTACTCCTTTAGATTTAAGCTATTTTTTTGGGGGGGAGCAATTATATTGGCAGCTTTTAAATTATTTATATTTATATATATTTATTTACATTTGGCTACACTCCACAATTCTTTCCATTTCATGAAGACATAATGAACTTTATGGTAGGTCTCAGCGGCCCTGTTCCATCTACTGCCTCCACCTTCGTGGTGCTGGCATTTGGCAGGGTGGTCACTGTGTTCTATCACCTCAAGGCCCCAGTAGCACCTGAGCCAGCAGGTGGCTGGGTCTCAAATGGGCCTGACAGTGGAAGCAGATATGGAAGGTGAGGAGGATGACTTTGAAGAAGAATGTGCTGCTGTTGATTCCATGTTGGCCCTGATGAACTATCTTTACCACCTGGAGGAGAATGACCATCTTCATGCCTGCCTCCAGGGCTGCCAGAATCCAGCTGATAAGACTACAATTCAGTGGCAGGTCTACAAGGCCCCTAAAGGTGCCAGCCCTTAGGTTCTTCAAAACCCCAACCAGCCACAACACTGCTTCCTGGGGTCAGGCTCTAGCCTAGGCACCACCACCTAGCTCAAGGTTTCCCAGTGGGTTTGCCTGCCTATGCCACCCTTCTGGCACCTCCCTTTGGTCCACCTGGGCCAGCCCCTACTGACCTGCATCCCCTCTGGCACCAGTTATGGGTCTGTGACCCACATATCTGTCTACACAACTTATGAGCAACACTTACTCTGCCCAGTACTTGAGTGTCTACCTTAAATGGGCTTCCCTTCATGCACCCACACACGTGCACAGACACACACACTCACAGACATGCACGAGTGCACATACACACACAAAGAGTACTATATAGAAAATACTGAACAATACCATGAAATCAAATCTTACCCATAGGATAAATTCCATAGAAACAGTTCAACAGTGCTATTTCTCTACTAGTTCCTTGATACCAATTCTAGCAAAGTGGATATATTTGGTAATTAGGCAAACAAACAAACAAAAAAAATTGGGGGGAGGGAATTAAGAGAATCATTATTTCAAGATTTTGCTTCTAACATGAATACAAACCCACATTCATTTAAAATTCTCTGTGCTTACTTCTTTATCCAATTACTTCCCAACTTCTAAAAATTATTTTTTAATTCAAGGTTTGAATGACATTAATGGGACCTAATGAAATTCACTTTAAATCAACTCTAAGCCTACAACAACTTTAAAAAGAAGACAGAAGAGCTTAATTCCTAGTCAAGTTCATTATGAAGTATAGGTAATAACCTCAAACCAGCACTTTCACAAGGAACATGATGATTGGCCACCTTCTTCATTGAAAAACCTGCTACCTACTAATAAGATGGTTATCTTCCTAGATGTATTGTTCCTGACACCTGCAGGGTTAGGTAGGTACCTAGGTGCCATTGAAGACCTTTAGTAGGCATTTAACTCTTGTCAAGGGTAGTCATGGGCCAACTTTAACATTTCTCTGTCCTATGGAGGGGCAGATAAAAGAATGAAATACCACAACAGAGAAGCCATCAGAGTTCTAACTGAAGAAATACAAAGAGAGAATATGTAACTGGGATACTCTATGTAAGCAATCCACTTTTCTAAGTCTTCGATGTTCTACAATTCTATATGTAACTAGAATTTCTCCAAAGAGAGGCCTGATCTGTTAATATTCAAATGTAAGACAGACTGTGTCACTTTCGTGTCTGGTTTCTCATTGGCTATAGGTTAAAGGTACTCCTGGATTGTTCACCTCCTTTTCTGGCATCATCTGGAAAAGTTTTGTCATTGAAATAAACAGGGAACACTGATATGATACACAGAATAACGATCCCAGAAATATGTCCACATCCTAACCCTGGAACCTGTGAATATGTTAGGCTACATGGCAAAAGGAAACTGAGGTTTCTAGCCAAGTGACTGTGGGATGAGGATTATCCTGGCTTCTCCACGTGCACCCAATGCAATTACCGGGAGCTTAAAAGTGGAAGGGAAAGGCAGAAGGGACAGAGCTAGGGAGTTGGTAGCATGAGAAGGAATTGGTGTGATACTACTGTCTTTGAAAGTGGAGGAATAGCCACCAGCCAAGGTGTATGTGTGGCCTCACAAGGCTAGAAAGGACAAGGGAAGTGTTTCTCCCCTGAAGACTCCAGAGGGCAGGCAGCCCTGCCAAGCCTTGACTGTGACCTAGTAAGACTCATTCTGGACTTGAACTAAAAGAGTACAGGATAGTTGGGAGGAGTGTCACATGCCTACAATCCCAGTAACTCGGGAGGCTGAGACAGGAGGATCACAAGTTTGAGGTGAGGCCAGCCTGAGCAACAGGGGTATAGCTTAGTGGTAGATTGCCGAGTTAATTCCCCAATACTGTCAAAAAGAAAAAAGAAAAAGAAAAAAAGAATATAGGATAATAAGTTTGTGTTATTTTAAGTCTCTAAATTGGGGGTAATTTACTATACCAGCTATAGAAATCTAACACAATGAAGCATCTTTGAACTGGAAATCTGACTTGAAAGGGTCTATAAGAATAATCAGATGAGAGGAAAAAGCAAGAAGGGAACAATCTTCCAGAAACTAAGCATCGCCAAGATGGAAGAATTAAAGGAAATTTTTGGCATATTTCATTGATTCTTGCACGTGCATTTCAAAATACAACATTTGTCTCTTCAAAGATGGCACAGAGCCAGACATTGTGTGGAAAGTAACAGGTATCCATGACTCTGAGATGAAAATGATTCAGGAAAGCCAGACTTGGAACAGAAAGAAGTTTTACAGAGATCTTGACTAATTTATTTCATTTATCATTTCATATATACATATACATATATCAAAGTCTACATATATAGACATGTACATGTATATATAAGTAAGTCTGTGCATGCAAAAGTGAAATATGGCAAATTTCTATTTAAGTCTAAATAAGTCTATAATAACTATTTAAATAAAAGTAAAACAAATGGCAAAAGTGATGTGAAAATCACCTGTCGTAATTATATTGGCATCATTTTTTTTATTTTTTGTAATATCACAAAGTGTATCCTTGTAAATTCAATGGCACCTGAGATTCTCTGAGATACTGCTTAATGGGTACATTTTGTGATGATGAAAATGTTTTTGAATTATATGGAAGTGATGGTTGCACACTTTGAATGCACTAAATGTCAATGAATTGTTCACATTAAAAATAGTTTGATTAATTTTTAATATCAGAATTTTACCTCAACTTAAAAAATTTTTCAAAATAAAAATTTCCTCCAAAGCTAGTCTGATTACTAATCTGATTATGATTGTTCTATCCTTCTTTACCCTGATCTCTCTCTTACCCAGGATGCTAGTAATGATTTGAAGAGCTACCAAGTGGCAAATATGGAAATGGCAGCAGAAAAACTTCTAGTTCCAAAGTGGACCTAGAAAATACATAAGCTGAGAACTTGATTATGAAGTGAAGTGAACACTCTTCAGCCTAACGAAAGGACAGAACCCAGGGATTCTACAAGACTCCATTTCTCTGATGTTAACTTCTAAATATATCAAAAAGCTAGTTTTAGTACACACACTGTTAATAATCTAAATCTTTATGTGGTAATAAGTGAATCATATACATATGCTATGCATAGAATGTGAAATCTGTAAGTTAATAAATTATATTAGTGATCAGGCATGAATTATAAAGAATATCTGGGTAAATGCTGAAGCTTCTATTTTAAACAAAGGATTAAGAAAAATAGTAATTTGTATACTTTGTCAACTTTGGCAGTAAATGATATAAATAAAGTGAACAGACATACTCTTTGTATTTTACTTTTTCAAAAACAAAACAAAACAAAAAAATTCATGATTTTTACCCCAATTGTGATTATCAAAGTAGTGTCTTTATAACGAAATGGGTGATTACTTTTATAACTGTAAAGTTGTATAAATTTACTGGCATGTAAGTTTCAAAATAAATTGAATAAACATGTGCTTTCAATACATTCTGAAATAAATCAGTTCTATATCTCTTTTCTACATGTATCTACCTTTAGAAGGTTCTTACTCATTTCCAAATGCTCATCAACAAATTATGCTTATGGAAGTTGTAATTTCCATTTAACACCCAAGTGGATGATTTAAAAATATGCTCATAGGAAAAATGTACAATTTTTTTGATGTTCTACTAGAAGTAAATTGTAATTCTTAAG